ATTATCAGCAGATCAGTTTCTATTAGGGCATTAGTGTTTTTCTTATTGATTTTTTTTTAATTTTGTTAAGTCTTTTTTGGGGGTGGGGGTAATTAGGTTTTTATTGATTTATTTATAATAAAGGCACTGGGACTTGAACCCAGGGCCTGGGGCATGCTAAGCACACGCTCTACCCCTGCGCTCTACCCTCCACCCCCTGTGATTTGTATGCGCTCTGTACGCTAAGTAAGTGTGTATGTTTGTTTTCCTTATTACATCTTTTGAAAAGAATCATCTCAGTTGGTTTTTAAATTTTAACTGTGCAGTTTCCGATCATAAAGTGAAATCACAGGATAGTCTCGGGTTGGAGTGACTCAGTCAGATAAGATGTGCGGATTACTGGGCCGTCAGGCAGCTGGGTAGTTTCTCTCTGCTTCTCCCTCCAAAACGCCAGATGATCTGCCAGGGCATTGGACCTGAGCCCGCTGCATACGTTGTAACGATTCTTCTAGGTGCCTGTTATTTCACAACTAGACAGAGAGAGGGGAGGTTTTAAGTGACTTTCTTGAGAGATGAAATTGTCAGAAGCTGCCGTTATGAGTAGGAGCTCCTGGCTCCTCATTCTGCACTAAGACTTCACTGACTTTTTCTTTCATTTCCTGTCATTTATTTCGTCAGCTACATCAATTTTCATTGTAGATTTTGGTTCTTCCCTGAAGGAACTTCTTGATTTAGCTTCACAACCTTGATGGTGTTTTTATTTTTAAATGTATGTGTTTCTTCTTCTTCTCCTCCTCCTCCTCCTCCCCCTCCTCTCCCTCCTCCTTCTTCTTCTTCTTCGGTGGGGGGAGATAATTAGGTTTATTCATTTTAATTTTATTGATTTATTTCTAATGGAGGTACTGGAGATGGAACCCAGGACCTCGTGCATGCTAAGCATGCACTCTACCACTGAGCTATACACACCCCGCCTTCGATGTTTAATCGTGCCAGATTGGCACCCACACCCACACCCCCTCCCCATCCCTTCCTTGTGCCTCCACACCCCAGCATGAGTGGCTTCCCGTGGGAAGAGGTAGGTCCTGGAGCCAGAAGAGAGAAATGTCTCAAGATGCTGTCAAATCCTGCTGCTTGGAAGTTAAGTGAAAAAGAGAGAAGAAGGCAGGCGTGGAGGCAGAATGATTACAGAGAGGACTGTAGAAAAATCACAGAAATCAGTGCATGGCTGCTGGGAGCACCCTGCCTTCCTGCTCCATATTTTTGTGACTATACCATGATCCAGGATTTCCTCTCTCAACAGACATGCACTTGGATGCCATCCTTGTCATGGACCTTTGCTAATTAAGAAAATGGAACAGACTTCCTTCCTTTTTTTTTTTTTTAGGGCTTTTTGTTTTTATTTCATATACTTTTATGCTTTTTATTTTTTATTTTTTTAAACTTTTTTTATTGAGTTATGGTCATTTTACAATGTTGTGTCAAATTCCAGTGTAGAGCACAATTTTCCAGTTATACATGAACATACATATATTCATTGTCACATTTTTTTTGCTGTGAGCTACCACAAGATCTTGTATATATTTCCCTGTGCTATACAGTATAATCTTGTTTATCTATTCTTCATGTGCCTCTCAGTGCCTACAAATTTTGAAATCCCAGGCTGTCCCTTCCCACCCCCTGCCCCCTTGGCAACCACAAGTTTGTATTCTATATCTATGAGTCTGTTTCTGTTTTGTATTTATGTTCTTTTTTTTTTAATTCCACATATGAGCGATCTCATATGGTATTTTTCTTTCTCTTTCTGGCTTACTTCACTTAGAATGACATTCCCCAGGGACATCCATGTTGCTGCAAATGGTGTTATATTGTCATTTTTATGGCTGAATAGTATTCCATTGTATAAATATACCACAGCTTCTTTATCCAGTCATCTGTTGATGGACATTTAGGCTGTTTCCATGTCTTGGCTATTGTAAATAGTGCTGCTATGAACATTGGGGTGCAGGTGACAGACTTCATTGTTTTTAATGTAACTGGTCATAAACATAGTCCCTATCAGTGCCCTCTAACAAAACGTACATCAGAAAGATCACTGGCGGATGAGAAGTGGAGTCAGAAGTAGCCCTGTTAATCAGTGTTTAATAGCATTTGCCAACAAAGCCTTGAAACGTAGAAAACAAACTATGGTTACCAAGGAGAAAAGGAGTGGGAGGAGGGATAAATTAGGAGTTTGGAATTGGCAGATACACACTGCTATATATAAAATAGATAAACAACGAGGACTTACTGTACAGCACAGGAAACTATATTCATGTAGTTGGAATAAACTATAATGGAAAAGAAACTGAAAAAGAACGTGTATATATGTATGTATATGTATATAACTGAATCACTTTGCTGTACACCCGAAACTAATACAATGTCATAAATGAGCTATGCTTCAATTTTAAAAAAATTAGGGGAACAAATGCACAGTAAAAAACTGAGGTGACAATCACACCGGAAAAGGGAAAACAGCAAAATGATGAGGCACTCACATGATGGGTTTCTACGCAGTATTAGGGGTCCCCTGTTTTCAGAGGATTTTTAATGACAGGGGGTGGGAAATGTTTCCAGTACACGGCGTTGGGAAGAAAGTGGAAATCAGAGCTGCAGACGTGCTAACCGCGAGGCCAGTCTTTTGCTGCGTAGACCCACAGAATCCACACAGCGCGAGGCTCTGGCAAAAAGACGGGAAGGAACTGTGTGGAGGTTTACATGGCGGATTCCCCCGAGGAGTATGTTTCCTTCTTTATACTTGTTTGATTTTTCCAAATTTCATTTACATACATTTTCTTAATAGTCAGAAAAGAGGAAGCGCAGTCGAAACATTGTAAGAGAGGAAGCTGGAAGTTCTACTTGTAAATTTTCAAACTGCAGCTTTAAATCTGGCTTCTTCTTCTAGCTTGTGCACTTGGTTTTTCCTGATCTTGGTACCCGGAGGCTGGGCACGAGAGGAAGTGCCAGGTAGGTTTATCATTTTTGTTTGATTTTCGTTTTTTTTTAATGGGGGCGCTGGGGATCGAACCCAGGACCTCATGCATGCCAAGCACACGCTGTACCACTGAACTATACCCCCAACCCCTTATTGTTTATTTTCAATCAAGAAAAGTCTGTACCCACCTCCTCCCATTTATTTTCAATGTTAAAAACAAACATTTTGAAAAATAGCAAGATGGGTGACCAAAACCACACAGAACTAAAGAAATGATAAATATCAACTCTTACAAAAGAGCTCCCATGCGACAAAGGGAATTCCTGGTGCCTGCTGTGAATCAGGTGATGCCAGAGCCCAATGTTAGTTTCTGTTTTCTTGAGAGATTTTGTTAAAACACAAAAGTCATAATGTGTTTTTCTCTTTCATCACTTCAAATGTCTAGACGTGTCAATGTCTAATTGATGAACTATTTAAGTAATTACACATATAGAACAATAAAACTATCTTAATTATTCTTTGAAGTAAAATTTCTAAAGCATTCATCTAATTCGTGTATTGAATTATATTCAGGAGACTAGGTACCCGGCTATACTTTTCATGTAAAAGGGAAGTCCAGTGTTAGCAGGTGCATCCTGTTACTCAATTATTAACTAATTAATATATATATAATGTATAATGTGTAATTAACTAAATAATTAACTACCACTCAATTGTTATTTGTTGCTTATTTCTTTATTTTTCCCCCTTCATGGGGGGCACTGGGGATTGAACCCAGGACCTTGTGCACACCAAGCACATGCTCTACCACTGAGCTAACCCCCCACCCCCTTGTTGTTTATTTTCAATCAAGAAAAGTCAGGAGAAATCAGTGAGATTAGGCAATTGGTAAGAGGGATGGAAGCCAAGTTAGGGAAGGAACGTGCCACTCAGGAAGGAGTTGAAGGCATGGAAGAGTTTGCCAAGCTAAACACGGGGCAAGAGTTAATTGGAAAAAATTTTGCTCTGCTGCTGTGAGTCTATACGAACCACTGTGGTTCCCGGGCTCAGCAGAGGAGGAGCCGCCTTCCTCCTGGGAGACCGAGAACCTGAATCCAGTTCAGCAGCAGAACTGGCATCGTCCCATGTCACTCTGAGAAGGTCAGCGGCAGAAGCAGCAGGAGTTTTCCCTGTGGCCTCTCTCTGAGATTAGAGGGAAGTTGTAAGTCAGGAAAGCAGAAACATCCAAGTAGACTGATTGGCTTTTCCTAATAAATGGCCACTGATGGAACCCAGAGAACTTCAGGTCTCCATGGGCTGACCTATCCTGTGTCTTCTCTGAAGCATGGCAGTGGTTGGACATCATCTTTCAGACAACCTGTATTTTCCAGGTATCACTACAATGGAATCTGTATCAAGAAAAGCTCGTTCTTCTACGCCCAGTATTGCTACCTTCTGGGTGAAAAACGGTATCACAGGTCAGTACCTGTCGTTTAGGTATTGGGGTCATAAGTCACAGGCTGGTTAATGTTAGGACCATTTGTGTTTCAGGTGAATCTAACTGGCTTTCTGGCTGGTCTGCCATTTATCCTTTTTAAATATGGAGACACGCACATCACGTCAACACTCTTGACGTGGGCCCTTGGACGTGGGGAGCGTCAGTCTCTGGCAACATCACTGGCCAGAGAAATGCGTATCCTGTTCGTTTCCTTGAATGTTTGTTCATCATCATCTCAGTTGCCAAAGCTGTTTTTTGTTAAGAAAGTCTTTATTCTTCTCAACTGCTCTGTAAAATTTGACCAGATTGGCCCCTTCTCTCTTAAGCCTGCAGAACTCTGCCTCATCCGGTTGCTTCCCCAGAAGGCCCCCTTCTGCTTCTCTCTCCGTCCCGATCAGGTGCAGGCACTTCCCTGAGAGCCAGCCTGTTCTAATCAGTGGTGTTCTTCCCACCCTCGGGCCGCAAGACATCCCGTCCTTTTTTATCCTTCACCTCTGGCTCCCTCGGGGGTGACTCTCCTTCTAAATCGTTCTCACTGGTCCTCACATCTCCCACGTCTTCGGCCCTTGTCTCCGGCTTTCTACCAGACATTTCTGTCTAGATGACCCATGGGTGCCTGGTTCCAAGGAGGTGGAAATTTATCATCTCCCTCCAGCTCCTCTCTGCCCCTCGACTTCCTTGTTTCCATCTATAACCCCAAGAGATAAACTGTGCAGGGTCACCTCAAAGCTACCCCCGACACCCTGGGTCACAAGTCCTGTTAACTCTTCCTTTTCAGGTTCCTCTGGCCCCCTTTTTGGTTACTGATGTTTCCTTTAAGCCCTGGTTATCTTATATCAGGACTGTTTCCACGGGCCTCGCGTGGCCTCCCTCTCCTCCACCTCACCTCTCTCTAAACACAGCCGCGAGACTCATCTCCCCCAGATTCTGCCTTTTCTTTGTCTCTTTCTTGCTCAGAAACACTCAGGTGCTAACTCTTACCTCCTGCATAAGAACTGCGCACCCGCTTCCCAGACCAGTGTCGGTGCCCCAGTTCCTCCCTTCTCCGCTCCCCGACCGTGTGGCTCACTCCTTCCCAGTATAAACCACCAGTCTCAGCCATATTCACCGTCCTCTGAGTATGTCAAGTGTGGCTCTGTCTCTGCTCCCATCATCCTGTCCTTCCGTGAAGTCGTTCTGTCTTCTCTCTGTCTAACCGAACCTCCCTGAATCCTGTCCCTTCCCTTGGACATGCCTCAGGGCCACCTGCTTCGTGGACCCGCCCCCAGCAGCTCCAGCTCCAGTGAACGCCCCTCCTCCGCTCTCCCATGCCGTTCCCTGGCCGTCTACACATCAGTGTTTCCTCTTCATTCCTAAACTCTCCATTGAGCCTTCATCTGGCATAAATAGAGGACCGTGTATCCCAAGGAGCCAAAGCCAATCTTGGCCTCACTTCTGTGATTGTGAGGAGCACCCCTGTCACCCTCAGAGGTGTTCTGGTTTGGACAATAAGTTATAACAAACTGTACGGTCACCTTTTGTGTAAGTTTCCCTGGGTTGTAAGGCACCTGCCCAGCGGAACCATGAGAAGCCACCCACGTAGGCAAGACGTGGACCCTTCTCTCCGATAGTGTCATTGGGGAGATGGATGTACGTTATGTTGATGCCAGGTGTACTGGGATGGGTGTCAGAAGTGTGGAAAAGGCCTCCTGAGGACTCGGAGACAGAGAGCACCATCCTGGGCAGGCGATCATGGGGCACCCGGGAGAGGGGCGTGCCTTGAGCTAAGCGGTGCAGGACAGATTGGAATGTGGACGGATGGAAAGGGTGGGGAGAGGGGACGTCCAGGCTCAGGGAGGACTGTGAGCAAGGACAGAGGCTTGCAGCTGTGAGGAAGCATGGTGATGGGGGGGAGGACAGCCTTGAATTGGACGCTGGGGCGGGGGTGTCCGTGAGCCTTCGGAGACCTCCTCCGGGAAGCAGGGTGGTCCCATCACGGGAACTTCTGCAAGACCAGGAACCGCGGAGCTCGTTTTGTCCCCAGCGCTGCCTGGAGGCACAGTGTCGGTCCTGAAATAGCTGCTCGGGGTGGAAAACTTGGCGTTGGGGTTCAAGGGGACCAGACCGGGAGGAGCGAGTGGCGCCGGGCGGGAGGCGGTCCTGAGGCTGCGCAGTCCGTCCGCTGAGCACCTGAACCAGAAGGGAGGCGGGGCGGCAAGCGCTGTGGAAGCAGGGTCTTCAGATGGTTGAGTTGTGTCAACCGGAGCCGCAGAGCCAACTCAGCCTGTCCTGCCGACACCTCTCAGGCGTCACTGTTGTCTGCTGCCAGCCAGCTCTTCCTCTTACGTCTCCTATTCATGCCTTAGTCATGAAGATGGAAAAATCAGAGCAGCAAAAATGGGGAAGCTGGGGAAGGGGGAGTAGAAGGGGGAGAGACTGGATTCAGCTGGAGCTGGAACTTTCCGGGTGCACCTGCGTCCTCTAACTTGCTCAAAGTCTGGACCCGGAACATGTCTGTTTGCCCAGAGCACCCAGCAGGCAGTGTGGAGAGCCCTGCACACACACACATACATAAGCTCAGCTTTTCCGACTTAGCGTGTTACAGGCCTTTAAAGAACCTCTAAACCCGGGCCTTCCCCAGTTGGCGTCTTTATTCCTTCTGCCTCTGACCCTGTGCCAGCTGTTAGCTCAGGGGCTGCCTGGGCGGCCTCGGCCCTCTGCGTCCTGGGCAGTGGGTCCACAGCCCTGTCCGCAAAGCAGAAAAGGCCCAGGTTTGTCTTTCAGACATAGCACCCCTAGGGGGGTGAGTGGGCAGTTGTGGGCACCGCAGACCTGAGATGTCAGAGCCCCCGGGGGTCCCTTGGAGCCTCCCTCCTCCATCCTGAGCTTCTCCTCCCATCTGTGCCCCGGTCCACTGGAGGCCAGGCCCCCTGCCCACAGGACTCGCTGAGCCCCTGCCTCACTCTTGGGTAATCAGGTCTTCAAGCTGCAACCCGCTTTTTGGTCTTGTCCGCTCTGCTCTGCAAGGCTGGTCAGAGCTTGTCAGGGTGAAAAAAACAGGCATTGCCTGGTTGTTGATAAACAGCTCAAAAAACAGGCGTGGAGGATTCCGCCCTAGGCTGTGCCCTCTCTTGGGAAGGTTTTAAAAGCAAGTGATGCTCCCCACCTCGGGAACGTGGGTGCTTTCTCATCTGCCCAGAGCATCCTTCACATGCCCGCCTCTAGCAGAGACGCCCATACGATGCCACATGCTGTTCGCTGAGAAAGCCTTGCTCCCAGGGGCTGTCACCTCGGGATGGTGAATGAGAACCAGCTAGACTCTCGAGGTGTCCCACCAGGTCACTGTGTTGCAATCAAGTCGTTCATAAGATCTAATGGGTCAGGACAGAGTTAAGGTGTTTGAAACCATCAGCCCCCAAGACGGAAAAGGATGAATCCACATCGCTCAGCTAAGCCGTTTTAAAAATGGTTGTTCTTTCCCACTTTAAGTTTCAAAGCCCCTACGGCTCCCTGTGTCCTTGTCTGCATCCATTGTTGTCACACGTGTCTCTTACAGGGCGGAGTAGCAGACACGGTGATGGCTTTAGCTCTCTGAACTTTTCTCATTTCTCACTCGTAAAATGGGGGTGATAATGAATTCTCAGCCACTCCCTCACGGATCGCTGTGAGAACTAAGGTGGTACAGGTGAGGCACGTCGCAGCGGGTAAATGCTCGGTACACGTTAGTGATTCCTGGCATTGGGGTAATCAAAATTACATTAAAGCTCTTTGCAACCATTATGACACCTGTCCTGATGTGAATACACGTATTTACTATTTAACTTTAGATGCAAAAATATTCATCAAGTTGAGGGTATCTTCTCATCAAAACCCAAATAATTAATTCATACGCTTTGAAGGTAAAAAAAATTGAAGTCAGATCCTTCCTTGACCGGAAGATGAAGCACCTTCCCGCTGCAGTCGGACCCTAAACAAGTCTGGGACAGGAATTAGGTTTTATTGCATTTTTATCCTCTTACCTTTGTAATTGCTTCAAATCGTTTCGCTGCTGTTAGAATCATTTGCGAGGGCAAGTTAGGATGCCAAGATGATGTAAACGAAAGTCTGGATCAATGACAAATGATGTCAGAACCTGAGAGTGTGTACGCGAAGGGGGCTTGGACTGAAAGGAAGTTAAAGGCCAAAAAGCAGATTCAGTGAACACGGCGTTTGAAAGACTTTATGGGAAAAAAAAAAAGGATGTGTTGTGTGCCTTGTAACTGTGTCTCAGTTCTCTTTACGGTGGACCCGCTCTCAGCCAAATTGATCGTAAAAACTAACTGAAGTAAAATGTGGTTTCTGTGCTGTGTCTGCGCTACACTGAGTGAAGTGGGCAGCTTGCAGGGCCGGGAAGAGACCTCCCTCCGTCTCCTGGCGTGAGGCCCAGGGAGAGACTTCTACCCTTCACGCACGCCCTGGGGGCTTCACAGCCACTGTTAGGGAAGGTTATAGGCCCTGAGAGCTGGAGAAGGTCTTGGGGGGTCATCAGACCCCATCGTCCTCATTTGTAGGGTGGAAATGAAGGCTTTCAAGCTCAAGAAGCCCACAGAGCGAGACAAGAATGCCCGTTCTCCTGTGGGGCCCTGCGTGGCCTTCTTCCCCAGCTGGCCCTGCCCTTTCGCCCCGGGTTAAATCCTGACCTCCGGGGCCCGGCCTGGCTGGAGCTCCCGGAGCTGGAGCTGAGGGGGCAGCGCACAGGGAACCCAGGTGGCCTCCCCTGGCCGGCTCATCTCAGGGTCCTTCCCGCACCCGGGGCTCCAGACTTTTTCTGTGTCGTCATGACTTGGCACCTGAGCATCTCAGGCCTCGGAGGACGGTGGAGGGAGGCCCCCTCCACAGCCAGGGCGGCCCTGGGTGTTTGATGTGGTTTTCTTGGAGCCCTGTTTGCACAGTGACTGTGCTCTTGATCACAGTCTGATAAACGTCCCAGAGGACTGACTCAGAACTGCATGTGACACGGGGCAGTGACCCCCAGAACACAAGGCCGTCCTGGCTGGACCCTGAGGGCTGAAACTGTCACCTCCAGTGCTGGCGTGGCCTCCCCACACTGACTGCCCCTCCCCTCGGCGGGGAGACCCCGTGGGCGAGCCCCAGCTACCTCAGTCTCCCCTTCCGGCCTGGCCGAGGCCTGCAGAGCTCATCCCGCCCAGCCGGGTCCTCAGGCGCTGACGCCCTGGACCGGGACCTCCGCGGCCCTCCCCCCACCGCCGGCCCCGTCTCCAGCAGCGATGCTCTGCTGAGCTGCCCTGCAGCCCGGCTCCGACAGGCCACCCTCTTCTCCCGTCCATATTTTCACGCATCTTTGCTTGCAAGGGGCCCTGAGACTAGGTGGTTTTTAAAATAAATAATTAGGCTCTTCTTCGCCCCACGTGTTGACCATGTTGCGAGCTGCTGACTGGAACTCAGGCAGTCCCCAGCAGGGGAGAGCCAGCCTCTCCGGTCCTGGGAACGAGCCAGCGGTCGTCTAACAGATGACCGAATCTCTGCAAAGTTACACATTTTCTGTCTCCCGTGATTGTTGTTTCAGTGGGTAAAATCCCCCAATCAAAGGCCACAAAATCATGGTCTCCCCAGTGAGGATGGCGCCTTGTGTCCCCTCGTCTGCCACACACAGGCCTCCAAAGGGCAGGAAGGCCTTTGTCGGTCTTCCTTGCAACAGCAGGAAGGGTGACACCACCCTCCTTTCAATGGCTGTTTAACTAAACTCATACCGTGCATCGGACACATGGCAGAAACTTGGGAGTTTCCCTTACGAATCCCGAATAATCGTCACTCATTGGGCTGACCTCCGAAGCTACAGAGTCAGGGTCTGTGGTGGGAGGGCACGCGATACGTCGAGGGATTCCCTTGTCCTTTAAGTCGGAAACAAGACCTTCCAGCTTCCAGATTCCTGTTTCGGAGTGTCCAAAGGAACATCCCCGAAGACTGCCGTCCTCATCCAAAGAGTTTAGTAAGTTCTGTCCAAGTACAAGGTTGTGACAAGTGCCAACCAAAGCAGGCTGGCTCTTCAAAGGGCAGCTCTCCTGAGCCGCTCAAGCTGCCAGCGTATAAGGCCTGACAACTGTTGAGCTAACACGAGAGTAGGGTGGGCCCCTGACGTAGTTCCCCCAACACCCACACCCCCTCCTTCAGCCAGAGCAATGTCTTTGCAGTTACTCGTGTAACAGCTTCTGTCCTCTGTGACAGACAGACGTCGGCTGTCACGGTCACAGCTCCATCCACCAGGACCTAGCGCCGTGCCTGACACACGAGTAGACACATGATGAATATTTGACGCGTGAATGAGGAATGGGTGGCCGAGAGGATGGATGGATGAAGCAGAAGAGATTCATGGTCTTGCATCCATTTTCCAAAGGAGACGTGTCAGGAGCAACAGGTGAACAGGACACGAGGTCGTAGAGAAACTGGTCTCCCTCCGGTTTAGTTGCAGAAAGCCTCACCAGTGACTTTTCACACATCTCTTACAGGCTGGGGAGCACATTTTTCTACTTAAGTTCCATTTCTATTAGCCTTTGATGCCGGGAACTTTCGTTTCTGACATTTTGTCTTCTTTCATTTTTTTTGTGATTTGTTGTTTTTGTTGATATAATACCGCAGAATCTTTGTGGCAATGGGCTGTTCATGAATTTCACCTGGAGAAACTCCATCGTTGTCCACACCCACCCAAGATGTCACTGAGATGGGATAAGCAGATCTACACATTTCAGTTCTGCCTTTAGCTTTCCTTGTATCATCCATCCATCCATCATCTTCTGTCTCCTCCAGGTTGAACAGATCGCACGTCCTGAAACCCTTTTGCCATCGAGCAGTCCAAAGTACCATTCCCATTGTGAGAACAACTCTTCCTGAAAGATGAAGAGGGTGGCTTTTTTGTGGGTGTGTAGCCAGATCCGGAGTCTACCTGCCCTGTTTTGAAATAGAATATTATGCAGAAACATTGACCAGTCAAACATTGGGTCAAGTATTCTGCCCAGATTTCCATGACTTGGGTTGGAGAATGGCCTGACCCAAACCTTCAGAAGAGAGCTCCTGGGGCTTTCGGGAGGCTGGGAGGAGATGGAGGCTCTTCCTGTGTGAGATGAAAACCGTTTGCCTCCAGTCCCACCCCATCCCCGGCCATCCCTGCCTTGCTTCCAGAAGCAGAGCGTTAGTCCGCTACCTTCCTCTCTGTGTGTTTGCATGGGGTTGAAGCAGTCAGCTGTGAGGACACATTTTGGAGTGGATGGAGCTCTGGGGATGGTGGGGAAACTAGGCAGCAGACGGCACCACCTCTGGCGCCTGAAAGATGCACGTTTCCTGTGCACGGTGGGGGTCCCTGAGCTCTCAGTGTCCCAAGTGTCCACAGTTAAAGGGGAAGTGCACCACACCGCACGGATAGCACTGAATCTGTTCTCCAGAACACAGATGTCTCCAGTGCGCTCTGTGAATCCAGGAGGCGTGGTGAGATGAACGTACATCTTACCGTCGACTCTCAGGCTCCTTGTTCCGCGAAGGTGCCATGCTACCGCCATCCACTCAGAGGATGTCACCATTTCTGAGTTGATTGTTTTAAAAGCCCCCAAATCAGAAAACATAAGACTTGATTTCCATGATTATTCTTTTCTCACCGGAACAAGTTCTACCCAGAATGACCTCATATTCTTATTTCTGAAGGGGATAAACCTTAAAAATAAATACATGGTTTTCCCAGTTACGGATTTTTTAAAACTCTAAGCAGGTGATAATCACCAGTTGTGGAGAGAAACTTGGGGAGGGGGGCTCTCAAATAAAAATTGTTCCCCCCACCAATAAACCTCCCTGGAAAAGAAACTCTATTCTTGTGCTCAGAAACAGGTGTCTTACTAAAATTATTTCTCTGTTGTCTGTTATGTCACAGTGGAGACATCGCTGCCTTTGAAAAATCTACTAATTATAACAGCATTCTCCAAGAAGAAGGAGCAGTGAGTGTTGAAAAAAATAGATTTACTATAATAGACCCCAGAATATTCAGTAATTGCTTAGTTAGATGCAACAGTTTTCCTGTGTGTAACATTCTTTTTTTCTTTTAATTACAGTATAGTCAGTTTATAAATGAACTTATTTACAAAGCAGTAATATTTTTGGTGGGGGGAGATAATTAGGTTTACTTATTTATTTTTAGAGGAGGTACTGGGCACTGAACCCTCAGATGTTCTTATTAAGTGCAGCGCTTAGCCACTCGCCTCCCACCAGGACTGTTGCGTGCCCACCGTGCCTACGCGCTCTGCTGGGACAGAGGAGGTCCCTGTTCTCGGGAGCCCACTGCTTAGCTGCACATCAGCTGTGAAACTGTGTTTCTTTTGCTCTGATTGAAAAAGGATGCGTAGATTATTAGCAAGAAATCAGTGAAAGTGTCTCTAATGACATTTATAGCTCTTTGATGGGGACAGCAGAGCTGTGAACGGCTAATCTGTGACATCACGGGGTGAACTGTACTTTGGTGGCCAAGACAACATGATGGCACTTCGAAGCGGTCTTGGTGACCAGTGTCATTGAGGGGCCCACCTTTTAAAAGCCTGTTTTATGACCAACCCTCTTGAGGGCTGAATGGGATGTGAAAGAAAACAGAAAACATCCCCTCGGTACTTGAAAACAGGACAGGTTCATAGCTGGGAAGCTCAGACAGACATGAAAGCTACCCACGTGCTATTGGGCGAGCCGTGCCCGTGGGAGGTGGTCTGGGAACTCCAAGGCAAGGGAGAGAGAGAGGTTGTGGGCCAGAGTGATCAGGGAAGGCTTCATGGAAGAGGTGGCCTGTGTTTGTCTCCCGTTGCTGCTGTAACAAACCAACACAAATTTCATGACTTAAAACAACACAAACTCATGATCTGACACTTCCGGAGGCCGCAGGTCCGACTAGTTCTCACCAGGCTAAGACCAAAGGGTCAACAGGGCTCTGTTCCTTCTGGGGGACCTGGGGGAGAATCTCCTTGCCTTTCCTGAGGCTGCCCTCATCCTTGGCTGGGGCCCCTTCCTCAGCCAGCAAAGGCAGCCAAGGTAGGCTGGGTCTGTCTCATACCGCCCTCGCTCAGGTTTTCTGCAGTTGGGAAAGGCTGTCTGCTTTTAACAACCCTTGTGATTACCCTGGGGCCAGCTGGAGCATCCAGGATAAAGTCTCCCCGGCTCCAAGTCCTTAACCTTCATCACATCTGCAGAGTCACTTTTGCCATGTAAGGTTCCAAGGATTCCAGGATGTGGGCATTTTTTTCCTGCATATATATTTTTATTTGAATTTAAAAAAAATTTTTTTGACATATAGTTGATTTACAATGTTGTGTGTGTTTCAGGCGTACAGAGAAGTGATTCAGGATTTTTTGTTTGTTTGTTTTTACTTGTTAAATAAATATTTATTAGGCATCTATTTGATGCCAGGGACAGGGCTAAGTACTCATGATACCACCGCAATGCACAGGTCACAGATACGGTGCAGACATGTGCAGGCAGAGCAGGCATGAGTCTCCCACAAACTTAAGTAGCATGAAATGGGTTCTCTGTAGGTTTAAGCCTGACTCTGAGCCTCTGTACTGCAAAGGGGGTGGGAAATTCAATTCCCATCATCACTGTAGCTTAATCTTCAAATGCAAAAATGTCCACTCATTTTTGCATCAGTCTGCACTAGTTACCAATGAGATGGTCCCCTTAGCTCAGGAGACTGCTGGTTCCATCTCCACCTGAAGCTGTGCAGTCTTCTGCAAGACAAGGAATCCTTGTGTCTAAGTCTTTTTTATGATTATAGGAGTGTGTAGAAACTCATGCCTTTTCTGAGATAATTTTTTTAGACATTTAAGATAAATTGGTAGTTTGACTAGAAATATATATTAATAACAAATACTAAAATACGGCATAATGTGGTCATGTGATTCATTTATTGAAATTACCTTTATCATCTCAGTAAAAGATACCTCTATTTTTTTCAAGTAACAATTCTTTTTTGGTGGGTAAAAAAAGTTTATTCTATCAGTGTATGTATATATATATATATATATATATATATATACATACACACACACACACACATATATATGTATATATATACTTTTTCAGATTATTTCTCATTATAGGTTACTATAAGATATTGAATATAGTTCCCTTTGAATATAGTTCCCTGTGCTGTACAGTGGGTCCTTGTCGTTTATCTGTTTAGTATATAGTAGTGTGTATGTGTTAATCCCAAACTCCTAATTTATTTCTCCCCCCAGCTTTCCCCTTTGGTAACCATAGTTACCAAAACTATGTGAGTCTATTTCTGGTTTGTAAATAAGTTTATTTGTATCATTTTTTTTAAGATTCTACATATAAGTGATACCATATGATACTTGTCTTTCTTTGACTGACTTAATATGATAATCTCTAGGTTCATCCATGTTGCTGCAAATGGCATTATTTCATTCTCTCTTTTCTATTTTGGCTGAGTCACATTCCATTGTGCGTACACACACACACACCCACACACCCACACACACACACACACCAACACACAGCGTCTTAATCCAGGCATCTGTCAGTGGACATTTAGATTGTTTCCATGCCTTGGCTTTTGTAAATTGTGCCACTATGAACATTGGGATGCATGTATCTTTTCAAATTAGAGTTCTCTCCAGATACATGCCCAAGAGTGGGATTGCTGAATCATACAGTAACTCTATTTTCAGTCCTTTTGAGGACTCTCCATACTGTTCTCCGTAGTGGCTGCACCAGTTTACATCCCCACCAGTGGTGTAGGAGGGGTTCCCTTTTCAGGATGTGGACATTTTTGAGGGGCTGTTATTCTGCCTGTCACACTGCCCTTGAGCTGGTCCTGGAGGGGTCACTGAGATCTTGAAGGTGCAGCGTGCATTCATGCTGGGTGGTATGTGGCCAGTGAGGACCAGAAGTGAGGATGTCGGGGAGCAGTAGGCTATGTGTGAGGTCCAGATGGTGGACAGCTTGTCAGTGCCTGGCTGAAGAATTTGGATGTCACCCAGGAGGCTGTAGGAAACCACTGAGGCATATTCATAAGGAGAATGGCAGGATACGTTTGCTTTGGGGGTGATCATTCTGGGAACAGCGTCTTCAAGAATGCAGGAAGGAGAATTGATGGAGTAACTCAGGGGAGGCAGATGGTGCCTGGAAGGGCAGGTGAAGACAGGAAGGGTCCTCCATCATTTCTCCAGGGGCTGACACTCAGTATGTGCTCACTGAAGGTTGCTGGAATAAACGAATGATAGTAACTCCAGTGATATTTCTTGAATCTACTGAAAATCCCCAGCTGCATTTAATACACTCCAAAAATCGAAGTAGAATTTCTCACTTTTTTCTTCCTCACTTTGCTGAATTTTCTCTCTAGAATGATGGGAATGCCCCTAATTCTTTCCTAAAGGCCTCCTCCTGCAGGGATGCAAGCTTTAGCAGTTCTGTCCCACGTGCTTGCTTACTTTAGATTTCTGGTGGTTTTTATTATAAAGAAAAGATTTCAGTTTGTGATTTTCTTTCTTTTTTTTTTAGATGAATCTACCCTTTATTTTGGGGAGGAGGGGTGGGTAATTAGGTTTATTTATTTATTTATTTATTTATTTTAAAATTTATTTATTTTTAAATGGAGGTACTGGGGATTGAACCCAGGACCTCATGCATGCTAAGCACACACTCTATCACTGAGCTATACCCTTCCCCAATTCACGATTTTCAGTTTTTTGGTTTTTTTTTTTTTCTGAAAGATTAGTGTTTTTCACAGGAAGTCGTGGACTTCAGGAGCCAATGAATTTGCTTATCATCATTTGTCATAATAGCTTACTTTTACATTCTTACAATGCTGCGTTTTCAGATGACTTCTGAACAGGTGAAACTGTAATGTGTCTGAAATCAGAATTCTGAAAGTTGCCAGATTGGAATGGCGGGATTTCGGCAGAGTTAGGCCGGATCAGTCTGCCCGGAGCTGCAGTTTCAACTCGAGGTGGCTAAGCCTCACTTGGGAAGCTGGTTAAAACGACAGATTTCTGGCCTCCTGTGATGTGGGAGGGCCCTGGCGATGTGAACGTCGAGTGCCCCCAGGAACCCTGACGCGGTTGGTTTCAGGACCACACTTAAGAAACACTGGCAGGGGTAACGGCAGCATCCACATCGCAAGAACACTGATGATCGCAGGAGGTCAGGCCGTGCTGCGGGGAGGATGGGCGGAGGTGGACCGGGCTGTGTAAGAGGGCAGCCCAGGGCTGGAAACGGGAATGCCTCGGTTCTGCTCCAGTAGACGCCTTGGTGGTGCGGCCAGGGAACCCCATGAAACAGCCCCATCCTTCCTGATCACCAGCCTGAGCATCACTCCCCCCACCCCACTCATGCTGGACGTGTTCCCATCAGACGACCTCAAATGAAGCCGGCGTTCTAGTCATAGGAATGAGGGTGGAACAGCCCCCAGTGGAAACCAAACAGCCCCCAGTGGGAGGACCCCCTTTGAGCTGTCACCTTTCTGTGCCACTACTTTCTGTGTTTATTTAGACATCTGCACTCTGCTTCCTTCTAAAAATATTAGATAGTATTAACTTGGCATTTTCACAGTATTTGGTGCGTAACGTGCATCTTTCCAGGAAGAGGGCCAGCTGCTTACCTCAAACGCTCAAAGAGACTCAGTACCACAAAAGAGTTGAGAAGTACAGACTTTAGGTCACTAAGACTGTTGAGTGTGACCCTAAATTCCTCTGACCCTCAGCTGATCAGAGAAGGTGGAAGCCGCCGGGGGCTGTTCTCGAGTACGTGCACTGCCCTGGGGACGGCAGCCGAGTGCACCCCTGGCCCAGGGTGGGCGCAGGCGGGTCAGAAGGCAGCGCAGCATGGCAGCCTGCACAGTTCAACCTCCAACTCCGAGGGATGGTTTTTACCTACTCTATTAAAATGGAAATTACTCAAAAGAAGTCCAGGGAAATCCTGAAGAAATCATTTAAAATAAAATCGATGGCCATCATTCAAGCCAGGAGTGGCCATGTCTTCCCTTGTCCGGAGGGGACAGCAGCACGGATGACACGTGGCAGGAATGTTGAGTTTACTTTCTGCCACACTGCCTTTTTCTGCCCTTGATGGACACGTTTTGCTCTTCTGTTATCTGTTCTTCTAGAAGAAGGTCTGTGCCCCTCATCTTCCCTGTTAGTTAAACCCTGAGATTTTTTATATGACAAACCATTTCTACAATACAGGCATGGTGACCCATGTAAGATATGGTTTTAGCTCAAGGAGGGACAACTACACAGACGAGAGCTGTAGAATGTATTTATGGCGTTAAATTTTCTGTAGGTAAGATTTTCATTGTACGGTACTATGCAACAATTTTCATACACGACCGCAAGAGTGTAATGTATGGAATCCTACCTCCTCCCTGCTGACTGCAGTGCAGAGACAGAGAGGAAGGTTAGTATCATTTGCAATGAAATAAGAGAGAGAAGTTGCTGGGGTCAGTAACGTGTCCAGAGGCGTAGATAAAAGGTTAACCTAGAGTAGCAACGTAATGATTACACGGCTTAGAGAAATAATCCCCGTGCTTTTAGTGTGACAGTCATTCACCGATAAGGATGGACCCCGCTGGACCGCCTCTGTCTGAGTTCAGGAGATGCCCATTCTGGGAGCAAGCGCTGGCCAAGAAGTACTCCTGCACAACAGTGGGTCCACACGCCTTGGGGAGACACATCTGTGGTGCCGTGGGTGGCGGGGGCAGGGAGTGTCCTCTTGTTTTGCCTGTGATCGTACTTGTAGCAGATGGAGTGATAACGGCTTCTCCCAGACCCACGAGGACCAACAGTCCCTCCCTGGCTGGGTGGCGGTCAGGAAGTTCAGGTCCCCCCCCCATCCTTAGAAAGGCTCCACCCGGGACCACGGACCCTTCTAGGGTGAGGGGCTCCCTGTGACGGAGCAGGGGCAGATTCGTGGATTTCCTCAAAACTGAGACTTGGGGGATTTGGAGCAGGGAAATCGGGGTTTGGAGAGAAAGAGGTCAGCGATCGGTGGCCTTTAGAGTGGGCAGTGCAGACCCTGGTCACACATGAGTTATGACACCAAAAATGAAGCTGCATCAGTCTTAGGCCCGTGACTGAGGTGTCACTGCACGTGACTAACGCCGCGCGGCCCTGGGAAAGCGCTCGGCCGCTGTCACGTCCGAGTTGCACCACAGGCCACGGCGTGGGGCTCAGAAAGGCCTTTGAGGAGCAGGTCATTCTGGAAGGGGACTGCAAACCAAAAGACTCTCTGTGTCCTTCCCAGGTGGCCTTTCTTGCTGACAAATACTGTGGCTACTGTCAAGACGTTTTACAAAACGTGAGGAACCAAGACCTCGAGAAGGTAGGGTTGTGTCTCCAAGCTCCGGAGCATGTATGACTCATTACTAACCTTTCTACTTGAAAAGATCCCTCAGGGGGCGTCTGGTGGGAATTCGCTGCCCTGAAGTGCTCACAATGCAGCTACTTTACAGCCGGTGAACTCTGGAAGGTGAAACTTTTATTCCGTTTAGCCATTTGGAAATTTTCTAAGGTACTCATTTGGATAACTTTATGCTTTAAATATAAAGTCAACTTTTTTTTAGACCCTAATTCCAGCTGATCGTGAATAAAGGAGTGGTAACACGATTTACCCTGGAATTTTCAGGGGTGCGTGGACACGTGCTAACTGAAAGGGAAGTAGGACTCGGCAGCCGGGGACTCTGATGTGGGTATCGCAGTGATTGGATTTTATTCTAGAATCAGGTGTGGAAAACAGGAATAAATTTTTTTAGTGTCCTGAATTCTGTCTTCTGCCATTAAAATGAAAATCCACGGAAATAAGCATGCATTTTGGGGTTGTTTTTTTTCGGTTGTGGGGAGGTAATTAGGTTTATTGATTGATTTGCTCTTAGAGGAGATACTGGCGATTGAGCCCAGGACCTCATGCATGCTAAACACACGCTCTACCACTGGAGCTGCACCCTCCCCGCTAAGCGTGCATTTGAATGAAAGGTTTTCTGAGGCTTTGGAGTTCTAAGCACTTCAGCTTTGGGAGATAACATTCATCAGCATGAGAACACCTTGAACCTAGCATCAAGCACTGGCGCGAGGGAGGGACCGTGCTGTCTTCGGAGTGGCCCCTGGCCGATGGATGCAGTGTTGTGAATGTCCGCTGCGTCCTTCTCCCTTCATTTCCTCGTCCGGTCCTGACTCCATCCCCCCCTGTGACCAGCTCCGGTTCTGGAACTAGGAAGCTGTTCCCCAGGAGGCTTGAGCTGCGTATAGTCTGGAGCTGAAAGGTACAGGATGAGCCAGTGAACATGATACAGTGTGACACGTCCTCAAGAAGCAGTGTGATTGACTGAACTGTCCTGGGTGCCAGGGGAAGAGTACTGGGGATGGCTGGAGGGCGCTCCCCAGATGAGGCTGTGTACCCCCGACCCTCGCAGAAAAGCAGAAGTTCAGCGGCCTCAAGATGGGGTGGGAAAGGGGTTCCAGGTAGAAACAATGGTGCAGACAGAGGCGGTAGGAAGTTCCCGGGCGTGACAGGACAGGCGGGTCGCCAGGACCAGATTTTATTCTCTCCAAAGGAGAGAAGCCAGAGGGGAGGTGGCAAGGTAGGCTGGCACTGGAAAGGGCCTCCCCTGCCCTGGGAAGCACTCTGATTCATTGAGAAGACGTGGGTTTGCCTTGACATGAGGTCACTGGGAGGGTGGTGGGAAGGGGGGAGGGGTGGGGAGGGGGGAGAGCTGGCTCTGGAGCAGTGACAGTGACTTCAGAGAGAAAGTGGGATAAATTAGAGAAATATTTCTGAAGCAGATGCCTCGGAATAAGATGATGGTGAGGGAGTGAGCAGAGGAAATTTATTCTGAACAGTGGCCTGTGCCCCTGTGGCCCAGTCCTCATCCTGGTACAGACAACAGGAGCCCCTTGTGGTCAGAGACAGCCTTCCTTCCCTTAAACTGCCTCGTGAAAGATGTTCCACGTCATCCCACCCACCTGGCAGGCACTCTGTGATGGTTGCAGAACCGCTTCTAAAACACTACTTGGAAAAGCTGATAGACACAGCTTCACGTGGACTGGAACGGAGTCATCCGTTGCCACTGGGGGCTGATCAGGTGTGCGTGCAGGGCTGCTCTCCGCAGGCACATGCGTTCTCAGAGACACGCTCTTCTCCATCAGGTGGAGGACTCACTCACTTCCTTCTGGAAGTCCCTGCAGCAGGACACGGTCATGCTTATGTCACTGCCCGACGTGTGCCAGCTCTTCAAGTGCTATGATGTGCAGCTGTACAAGGTGAGAAGACGTTACTTTGGGTTGCTGGTCTGTGTCCTTTCCAGAAATCGGTACCTGAGGCTGGGGTCCCAGCGGCCGCTCACTCTCCCTGTGGTGTCCCTAGACCCAGGCCTTCTGAGGAGTAAAGGATGGGGCTGGTGGACTGTGAGCCTCAGATGTTTCCCTGTAAGTCCACTTTCCTCTCTGAATTCAGTGAGAGCATGGGTTTCCTCATGCAGAGAAAAAGCCAGGACACATTGTGACCTGTGGCTCCAGTGACCTGTGGACCCTGAGTGGAGCCAGAGTTCTTCCACTGGTATTTCAACAAAAGGGGACTTTTTAAAATGAGTAATTGAAACAGTCGCTTTGGATTATACTTCACTGCCCAGTTTGTTTGGTTTTTTAAGCTCTGTCTCTAGAGTGACTGTTGCAGTTTAGGGGTCAATTATACATAATTTCTATGGTGGAAACATGCTCTCCCTAAGCTAGTCATGAACCTTTACCTTTTTTTTATTGTTTGCTTGGGGGAAAGATAATTAAGTTTATTTATTTATTTTTAACAGAGGGACTGGGGATTGAACCCAGGACCTCGTGTGTGCTAAGCACGCACTCTACCACTGAGCTGTACCCTCCCCCCTACCTTTTTATTTGATTATTTTTTAGGAAAAGAAGATCTGGTGCTTCCAGATTTTTAACGTAAAGATTGAAAACCAGAGGCTGGATTCCACCTTTAAATATTTTGGTTTGACACCTATTGCCCCCCGACCCCTAGTACTGGCCATCATTAGCATTTTTAAACTTTTGAATCAGTTATCAGTATTTTAAAATCTTTGAAAGAAGACCAGTTCCGGCCACTCCAGCCTGTGTCCGGCACAGTGGGCCGTGGCCGGGGCTGCGTGGTGGCCGTGCCCTCAGCGAGTGGGACCCTTACTGTCTCCGCTGTGGCTCCTGTGACCTTCAGCCCCTTGTGAGCAAGGCCACCTGCTCTGGCCGCCGTTACGCGTGTGGGCACTTCTGTTGTAGGGGATTGAGGACGTGCTCCTGCGTGACTTTCTGGAAGATGTGTCCCTTCAGTACCTGAAATCTGTCCGGTTATTTAGCAAGAAGTTTAAGCTGTGGCTTCTCACGGCTCTGGAAGGTTTCCCAGCCCTCTTACAGATCTCCAAACTCAAAGGTAGGTTTCCATGAAAAACCTAAAATCTGTGAGAGCAGGTGGCATGAGTGTCCTCTCCTGTCTGCCTTCCCTGATGCCTGGCCTCTTCACGTCTCCCGGCTCTCCCTGTGGTGCCGGTAAGAATGCTGGTCCATCCACACCCATTACCCATCCGCTGTGCGAGTTACAGCAGGGCCCAGGGGATGGAAGGTGGGGACAGGCGAGGGGAGGCTGGTGGGGATGGGAGGGGCAGTTGGAGTCCTGGGCTCCCCGCCTGCTCATGCAGGGTCGACGGGGCCCCACCATCCTCCCACCTCCCTGTGCTCCATGTGGGCTCCTGCGAGGCTCAAAGAGTATCACTCCCTCCACTAGAAATCCCTCCTGTATCCTGACTTGCTCACGCCGGGGGTCCACACCCATGTGGTCCCAGTGTCCCCGCTGACTTTCCAGATCACTTTCCCCCTCCACCTGGATGCCAGGGCGGCGTCTTTGAACACACCTGCTGTCAGCGTCGGCTGTTCATCTGCTCAAAGCCTACGGCAGCCTCTTGGTGGGAGCCTGAGCCCTTCTGTGGGCTGTCCCAGCGTCTCTCTGAATCTGACCCCTTCGCGTCGCCCCACGTCCGTGGCCCTTGTAAACTCCAGCCCACATGCTGTAAACTCCAGCGTGTTCCATGGTCCTGGAAGTGCCTGTTTCCTCCCTCCTGCCTTTGTGAGGTTTTCCCTCTTTGCCTGTAGTGCTCCCCACCTGGCCCCCCACTTCTTGGGCAGCTCAGGGCCCCTCCCATCCCCAAGCCCTCCCAGGGAACCCCCTTCACCTCTGCAGGTAAGTCTTCCCTCCTGGACCACTGCCTGTCGTCTCCCCAGCGTGCCCACAGCCCAGGACTGCGTCTGACCCTTGCCCCCAACCCCCGGCACCCCCAGCACCCCTGGCCTCCACCTCCCCCTGGGAGCCTCCATCCCTCTGTGACCCACTTGGAAACTTTCACCTGCCCAGGCCAGGCCTGCAGGCCAGTATGATTGCCAGCCAAGAAGGCAGCAGGGAGGGTCCTGCAGAGAGAAAGTGAGGTCCCGTGCTTGCTGGGCAACGGGGTCCTTGAAAGGGGAAGAGAAGCCCCGCTCCAGTTTTCCCGTGCTCCCACTCCTTGACCACCTGCCCTGATCCCAGCCCTCGGCCCTCGGTCACGCGCCCAGGCTCCTTCACCGCTTCCTGGTTGATGGTCCTGCCTCCAGCCTCACCCTGCTCAGTCACACTCCCCTCCGCACCCGGCAGTTCTATAACAGTCATTCGATCAGTTCACAACTGCCTCTGGTCCCCATTGCCTGGATGGTCCACTCTCCTTCACTGCTTGGCCTCTGTCCCCGGCCCTGTCCCCCCACCCCAAGGGACCCCCGTGACCCACTGGGGCTCGCCAACAACACAAGACTGGTTGACCCCCCCAAAGGTCCTATCTGTGCCTAGTCCGCCTCCCCCACCCCCAGCCCCCTGCAAACTCCTACCTATGCGTTAAGACTCAGGCTGAATCTCACCTTCCAAGTGAAGCCATCCTTGATACCTTCTTCCAAACAGGCCTCTCCCCTCCCTGAACCCCTCAGTCTCTTCTCCCTGCACCTCACAAGGCTGGGAGCACTCCTCCTGCTGTTGGAATGCGGTGTGTGTCTCTGAGGTCACCCTCCCCCATCCAACCACGTAGCAAACACCCAGCAGACACAGCACGAGTGTCCCTGATGCATGAGTCCAGGAATAAATGAGCACCTCCAGAGGAGAGCTCCTCCTCTTTTACGTTCTCTCATTTCTGATCGTCTTTCTCAGGAGAGCACATAGAAGTGAGAAAGTTAGGGGAGCTCAGGGTTCCTGGGCAAAAATTCTAAACTCCCTTGAGCATGCGTGGCCAAGGCTGGATTGCATCATTTTTCTAGCACATTTGGGTGTTGTCGTCAGAGCACCCCTACCAGGGTCTCAGAACCACTTGGGGAGAAGGGGCGAGTGGGTGAGGGGGGCGAGGGTGCTGGGGCCCGGCCATGCAGGCGGGTGTGTGGGCAGCGGTGCCCTCCTGTGTGACCGCCTCATCCCTGCTGTCGTGCGTGCGGATTTGACGTTTTTGTATCAGTAACGTCCACATGTATTGTTCTTAACAGATGTTACCGTGTTTGTCAAAAGACTGGGAAGAAAGATCTATCTTTCCAACATGGCCAAGGTAGGTTTCAGGCAACCATGCAGGAGGCAGCAAAGCCGTTTCCCCAAGTGCAAAGTGAAGACTGCGAGTGCAAGGGGACCGAGGGCAGAGGGCAGAGGGCAGGCTGTGGGCTGGGAGGGCCTGCTGGGCCCCAGGTGCTCTGCTGGAAGCCGCCCCTCCCTTCCCTCCTTGGAAAGGCCCCCCCACCATTCAGGAGAGGGGGTGGGACCAGCAGGTCAAGGTTCTGAAGTTCCAGAGGGAGGCCCCGCGAGGTGGCAGCCAGGGCCAGCCAGGATCACAGGTGACGGGGCATCATAGCAGAGCCTAGGACAGATGGACGGACAGAACTGCGCATGGCCCCGTGGACTGAAATTTTGTGGCACCAGATCAGGATGGGGCCTGAGACCATCCCTCTGCTCCAAACCAGTCCTAGACAGGGGCTGGTGCCCAGCCAGGCCTGCCCTCCACCGTCTCCATCCTCCCAGCACGGGGGTCTCCCCAGACACCGGTCCTCCGGTTCGTTTCCCCCTCACGCACTTGTGACCTGTCCTGTGCTGCCCCCTGTCAGAGCCCTGAGCGGGCTGGCTGGCCACGGGCCTCAGCACGGCCTTCATCCTGAGCCACCTGCAGTGGCCAGCCCAGAGAGCCAAAGCCGGCCCAGCCCTCAGGCAGGTTTAGGAACAGCCAGGGGCCGTTCTCTCAGCTGTAGTGCCTGCTGCCAGGGCCGGTGTGAGGAGGCCCATAGCTTGCCTGCAGACTCCAAATGGTCAGGGGCTGGACTGTTCAGTGGTGCAGCTGAGGCTCAGTGCAGCGCCCAGGGCTCCACAGGGGCGAGGACAGACAGCTCCCAATCCCCCCAGCCACCCTGTAGTGCCACCCACACTGTCGCTTCTCCAGAGCCACATTCCCGGCCGGCCCCTCGTCGCGCACTGTTGCCCTCTCTGGGGAATTCAGGCTGGTTGAGGGGGCGCTGAGACTCGGGAGCAGGGAGAGGAGGAGCCACGGGCCCTGAGCCCCTGCAGCACCCGGCCGTGAGCAGAGCAGTTCCGGATGCTGACTTTCAGAAGGGTGGTTCTAGGATGTGTGAAATCCAGACACTGTCATTGTCATTTAGGATTTGGCTTTAATGGGTCACAGCCAAACCCACTTCTCTTTCTCTTCCACAGCCATGAGAGCTTGGGAATTTGGGGGGCGGAGATGAGGCCGGAGTGACGAGAGTCCACGAAGTGCTTGCTCCCCTCTTGTCTTTTTTTTAAATTGAAGTCTAGTCAGTTTACAGTGTGTCAATTTCTGGTGCCCAGCATCATGTTTCAGTCATACACACACATACATATATTCATTTTCATATTCTTTTTCATTATAGGTTACTACAGGATATTAAATATAGTTCCCTGTGCTAGACAGAAGAAACATGTTGTTTATCTATTTTATAAGTAGTATTTGGTATCTTCTAATACCAAATTCCCAATTTATCCCTTCCCCCCCTCCCCCCCTCCCCCCCCCGAATAACCATAAGATTGTTTACTAAGTCTGCTAGTCTGTTTCTGTTTTATAGTTCATTAGTGTCTTTTTTTTAATTCCACATATGAGTGGTATCATATGGTATTTTTCTTTCTCTTTCTGGTTTACTTCACTTAGAATGACCATCTCCAGGTTCACCCGTGTTGCTGCAAATGGCATTATTTCATTCTTTTTCATGGCTGAGTAGTATTCCATTGTATAAATCTACCACAACTTCTTTATCCAGTCATCTGTCAGTGGACATTTAGGTTGTTTCTATGTCTTGGCTACTGTAAACAGTGCTGCTATGAACATTGGGGTGCATGTGTCATTTCAAATTAGACTCCCCTCCAGATATGTGCTCAGGAGTGGGATTGCTGGATCATAGGGTAAGTCTATTTCCAGTCTTTTAAGGAATCTGCCTACAGTTATCCCCTCCCTATTGTTTTTAGACCATGAGAATAGTGCTGAAAAGCAGCTGGCGGGCCAGCACCCTGAAGTCGGACCTCCACGCCATCATCTGTCAGGGCACTTGGGATGTTCTCGAGACGGCCCCGCAGGGGAGCTGGAGCAGCGCGGATGATCCGGAGGAGAACACGGAGATGAAATGTAATCCTTCTTCCGCAGCCGCTTGGCTACAGTGTTTGGTGTATTTTCAGGGCTGGTGTGGCCACTGCTAATTCACAAATTTATTGGAAGAACTAGAACTTCCCTCTTTGGTATAATTTATCTGCTCAGTCTTCTTGCGGGCAGTGAGGAGTGCCCCAGGGAACCCTCTTCCAGGGCCTGGCCTGGGGTTCATGGTGCCGGGACGTGGTTGCTGGGTGATCAGACAGACCACTGTGGTCGCTGCTTGACAGGATTTCTTGTCTCCTTTGGGAAGCCCTTCTGCGTCCCTCTTGTCGGCACAGATTGCCTCATCCAGGCCTTGCCTGGATGGGCTTCACGCTCAGCCTTGCCGTCACCACCGGGAGCATCCTCAAGTGCCGTTTGTAACAACATGAAGCATAACCCCGGCGCTTTTACCCACGACAGGTGCTGTTAGGCACATGAACATCTGCGACTGTCGGGGGAGGAGGAGGAATTTCCCTCTACTCATCATGAGTGGTCGTGCTGGACTTAGAATAAAATTGACATAATTAACAGGAAAAAGAGAAACGAATTTTAAATCATGCACGCAGAGATCTCGTAGGAAATAGAACCTAAGAAGTGGCCGAAGCAGGCAGCTGTTACACTTTTTAGACAAAGAAACAATACGCTTGTGACTTAATTGACAGAACAAAGGAACTTCGGTTTGGATGCCCAGTTAGTGAAGAACCTCAGAATCTGCCTTGAGGTAGTAAATTAAAGAAGTAAGAGGTGTGTGTACGCGGACTTCTCCACCTCAATTCCCGTCTCTGGCAACAAGGGTGTCTCTTTAGGTCCCGGTGCAGGGAGGGCGCCTTTCACCTGGGAGATTTATTTCCTGTTTCCAGGGAGACCGAGGAGGGAGTCGGAGTGTCCCTCCTCTGTCGGCCGTTTCTTAAGTAACTTTAATTCAGATTAACCAGTATGCCATCGAGGCACTTTTTGGGGCCTCCTTCTCTGGGCCCCAACACTATCTGACAATTGTAGTTCCTCTTAAGGGGAAAAGTCTCCCTTCCACAGGCAGCTGGCTGGCAGCGCTGTGACATCGCTGGGGAGCATCAGCAGTGAGAGCTGCTGTCTCCCCACGGGGGGAACCGGAGCCCTTCAGGAGGGGCTGCAGAACCCCCCATGCTCTCCCCCAGCCCAAGGGCCAGTCTCTGGGCCTTGATCTGAGCTGCTGGGAGGGCTCAGCTGTGCATAAAGCTGGAGCTGGAGCTCCTGCAGGTGTGGGCTGGGGGCTTTGTCTTGGCCCCCCCCCCAGCGTGGGGCTGGCAGCCGGTAGCACCTCAGGACCCGACAGATACGTGGGTCCAGCACATGAGTATCACAGATTATCTGGTTTCCTTGACCTTGAAGTGGGGCGGACTTGGTAGGATTGTACCAGTTACTAAGGTAGTGAAGCCAGCCCTTGTTGATAAACAGCTTCTCCCCTTTTCCCCCTGCTCTCTGTCCTTTGATGGTGTCCCAGGCCCCTACTGCCTGGCTGTTTCAAATCCCAGATGCACCACCCTTACCCCCACCCCCAGGAAACTCCCCTCCAGCCAAACCTGCAACTGGAAGGTGAACACCTAACCCAGCAGGCCTCAGGGCGATGGAAACCCCCTCTCCCAGCTACTGGCTCCCCTAGAAATCCCAGGTGGCCACCCAAGCCTTGTTCTCACCCCCAGCCCGAGCCCAAGGAGCCCAGGAGGACATGAGGCCTCTCCTCCGGGGTGCTACCCGCCTGCCCAGGGTCCCTGGGCTCCTGCTGGCATCCTCATGTGTCCTTCTGAGAAGGCTCAGAGCTGGCAGGGAGGTTGCATGCCGGCAGCCACTGCCGACACCTGGCAGGATGCTTGAGATAGACCTGGACTGTCTTCCAGATGAAGGCTGACCAAACCGCAGCCAGGGCCACGGCCACCCCCTGGGTGTTCTAAACTCTACCTGGCACGTGGCAGCACCCAGACGGGTGGGGAGGCCAAAGGCTGTCCTTCCGCTGTCGGTGCTGCCTGTGCAGGTGGGGATCCAGCGTCACACGCGCCGGGGCTCCACCCTGAGGTCTGTACTGACTGAGTGTAACCCCAGGCAAGGCACCGAGCCTCCGTCAGCAGCTTTGATGTCCACCATCAGTCAAAGGATCTTAACAAACTACCCCTTTTATAAAACTGGCAGGGAGGGGTGAGGTCACGTCTGTATCAAGTGATGAGCTCACCTGAAGGCAGGTCCTGTCTAATTACAAAGGTGTAGTTATTATTTCAAAACATTTCTTCCCATTTCAACAAGGGGCAGAGGTGGTTGCTAAAAGGCAAAAGCATATGGCACCGAACAAGACAGCCTGGGGGTGACGAAGCCAGCCTTAGAAGGCAGCCTTTGTGTTGAAAATGAGTGTGAGGCCGCAGGGAATTCATCTGAACTGTTGCTCAGATCTGATCCCCCAGGTTACCAGGTATACAAATACCTGCAGAGAAATTCCGTTACGCTGCTCCCAGGCTTTTTGTTTGTTTTATCTCTTTATAGGTTTGAGCAGTTTAATTTCTTTGCTGGGGACATCCGCAGACCTCAGCGTGTTCCTGAATTGTCTGTCTGCAAATCTCCAAGCACGGGTCTTCCAGGTAGAAAACCATGATTTTTTTCTAAAGACAAGAAGTGGCTGTTGGTTATTCTAGCTACATTTTAGCCCTGAGTGCCCATGACCTGGTGAAAAGGTTTTTTCTAGAGCTTTGGACAGGAACTGTGTCGAGGCTGGCATGGGGGTTAAGGACGGGGAAATGGTGTCTCAGGGGCTGAGCCGTCATGCAGGGGGGTGTGTGTGTGTGTGTGCAGGTGAGCATTGTGTGTGTGTGCAGGTGAGCATATGTGTGGTGTGTGTGTACAGGTGAGCATATCTGTGTGGTGTGTGTGCGTGTGTGCAAGTGAGCATATGTGTGCCTGGGTGAGCTTGTGTGAGTGTGTCCAGGTGAGCGTGAGTGTGCAGGTGAGTGTGTGTACAAGGGAGCAGGAGTGAGTGTGTTTGCACCCAGCAGGTGTGTTTAGGAGGAAGATGGGTTTGTCTGTTTGAGGAGGACAGTGCTTGTCTGGGTGTATTTTGCAGAAAGTCCCCATAAAGCCTCAGGCTTGATTTCACAAAAGCAAAGATGAGTTGGCTTTGGATGTGGGTGGATTGGGTCCTTATGGGCGACGTGTCACTGGGACTGACCTCAGTAGGCCTGTTGGCTCCATTGTCATCACCTGCGTCAGCAGTCACCCTGCAGGAGCTGAGAATGCTGTCTGGGAAGACACAGCATCCTTGCCTTGAACACCAGGCCTCCCGCCCTCGAGGCGTCGTCCTCTGAAGGCTGAGGCCGGTGGGAAAGGCCTTGGTGAGGGGGGCGGGCTACACTGGGCGGTGAAGGGTGGACAGGATTCAGGTAAGCTGAAGGGAGACACCGCTCACGAGAGAGGCAGCAGGGGCGGCGGGGACGGCGGGAAAGTGGAGGACCTGTTTAGGAAGAGTAAGGACATCTCTGCGGCAGAAAGCGGGCAAGGAGGACCTGGGGGCTGGTTCCAGAACGTGACCCTCTTACACCTGGGCCACATTCCTTTCCCACCTCCTTGCCATCCCCGAAAACTCAGGAAGGAGCTGGAAAGCTGGTTCCAAGCCTCGGCAGGTGTCTGTTTCCATTCTCGGCTCCTTGGACATACCATTCCAGGGCCTGAGTGGTTCGGATTCCTCCCCCTGGGTCCTGGGCAGGGCGCGCTCGTCCATCGGTGACATGTGCAGCTGTGTGACTGCAGAGGCGCAGAGCCATTCGATAGGATTAAGCTTCCCATCCTGTTCCTTGCTTTGGACACTCACGCAGCCTTAGCCTGACCCGAGCTCAGCCCACTGAGACCATTGGCACCCGTCCTGCCTTGAAGAGCACAGGCGGGCCCTGCATCCAAGACCACGTAACACGGTGTTTCCATCCTCGCCCCTGCAGCCTTCACGAATGAGGCATCTCGGAAAAACGGTGCTTTTGTAACTGCCTGCCTTTTTTTAAAAAATCCTCATTTTTTATTGAGGTATAGCTGATGTACGACATTAGTTTCAGGGGTACAGCACAGCAATTCAGTTATATATTCAGGTTCTTTTCCATTACAACTCATTACAAAACATTAAGTACAGTTCCCTGTGCTACACAGTAGGATCTTGTTGTTTATCTATTTTGTATAGCGTAGTGTATATAGGAGTTTGGGATTAACTGTAACTACTTGCCTTTGAAGGGCTTGTTTTTGTGAACCAGCTTGGCTGATAAAAAGCAGACTGTTGTCAGTGAAATGCTCAGGCTGTTCAAATGTGAAGCCCTGGGCTTGTCCGAGGTGCCCGGTGGCCTCTGTCGTTAGCATCCAGCGGCATCAGCAGCGGAAAGCGCTCAGCTGTGTTGTGTTTCATTTTCCCTTGGTCCTCGTGCAGCTTGGGCCCAAGAATCCTTTCCAAGCATAGGAACGGGGGGTACCACCCTGATGGCAGGCGGAGGAGGGCTTGATAACACTTATGGTTTAAACGTCTGTGCAGAGACCGCTCACTGCTGCTTCTCTGGATGGTTTTAGGAGGCGTCCGTGGCTGTGTGTGTGTGTGTGTTGACCGCCAGGAGAGTTCCTCCCGGGAGCCCCACTCCAGATGGTCTGAAGTCGTGGGGGAGGATGCCTCTACCGAGGGGGGTTCATACCCACCTGGAGCCCAGGGTGTCCTTTGGGGGCTGAGGAGAAACAAAGAGAAAAAGAACATTTCCTCATTTCTAGCCAGTCTACAGCTCTTCCTGGGAGACTTGAGGTTGACCCCGTAGGTGGTCTTCATGCAAGAGACCCCAGAGAAGCCAATGTGTGCTGGGAAATTCATGTGACTCCGTTGGTTTGTGATGCATTTGACGCGTGGCCCAAGGCTGCTGTCAATCTGCTGGGGAGTTTCTTAGTCTGCACACGGAGGCATCTCCCTGGTCCCCAGTTTAGTGCCACTCAGGCCGTCTGATGACCCCAGCCCCGCTGGACGCCCAGGTGGACCTTCCGGGCCTCAGCTAACTCACAGTGGCCAGCTTTGTGCTCTCCCGTGGCTGGGGGTGCTGCACCCCTGTATCACAGTGTCAGATGTGGCAACAGTAAATTAGCCACTGACACCAACAGCAACCACCATGGGGGCTTCAGCGAGGCTGCCCTGCAGGGCTCCTCTGTCTCTCTTCCAAAGTGACCTCTTTTTAAAAATCGTGTGCTATTGTAAAAGGAATTAGGTCGCTTTCCCACCTCCTGCCTTCTCTCCGCCAACTTCAAGGGGTTCTGCCTGGAATCCTGTCCACGAATGACAGGGACCAGAAGCAGGCTCCAGCCTCCTCTCCCGCGTCTCTCCTCGTTCCTCTCCCCACCCGGCCCCTGGAGAGTGTCTGGGCCCCACCCAGGTGTGCACTTGAGAGCCTGCTCTTCAGGGTTTTTATCATAAACCCTGACATTTAAAAAATTTCTTCCAAAAAATGTAATAGCCAAGCAGAAGCAGAGAGGAGTTTATGAGACTGGCTGCCACTTTCCAGCTGAGATGGAATTTCCTCCTCACAGCCGTGAGCAGAGCCATGACCCTCTGCCACAGGGACAGCTTCGGTGAGTCCGGGGATACACAGCGTTTTGGATTCTACCTTTTACAGGTGTTGTTTTCCACCGGAAGTGTTTCCCATGTTGCTGCGGGGAGCCCAGTCCTCGTCTTTTCGCCTTTTTATTAAAACACAACACAGACAAACCACGATGATCTTTTCGTAACGGCAGCGTGGCAGTCCCTTAAACAGCGGGACCGCGCCCCCCCCCCCATTGTCCAACTCGCAGGATGCCTCCCGGGCTTACGGTCAGTTTACCATGTGGTGTCAGTTTCTGGTGTGCAGCACGATTCTTCCATCATACGTGAATATACATATATTCATTTTCTCTGGGGTTTTGAATTGTTTGCTTCAGGACATTTTGAGGAAAGCACCAAGCGCTTTCTTTTTCACCATCTCCTGAGGGGAAAAAAATGAGTTCTTTGGGGCACCTGGATTTAACTTCCCCGAGTAACAACGGGTAGAGGCCCCAGGACGGGCAGATGTTGGAATCAAGCAGCGGCTGTTTTGCAAACTTTCTGGTCCAGTGGATGGTCTTTCTCTGCAGGGGCTGTTACCGGGGAGTGGGTTCTTCTCTCACACAGGAAAGAATTCAAGAGCGAGCCATGGTGAGGGGAAAGCCAGCTCAGAGATACACATTCCATAGACAGAGCGCCGTCTGTCTCGGGAGGGGGAGCGGCCCGAGGTGCGGGGGTGGTTAATTTTTATGGGCTGGGTGATTTCATAGCCTAAGAGGTGGGAGGATTATTTCAGCCATTCCAGCTGTTATGGGGAAGGGGCGGGGATTTACAGGAATCAGGCCCCCACCTACTTTTTGGCCTTTTATGGTCAGCCTGGGAACTGTCACCTAGCCTGCGGGAGTGTCATTAAGCCCCTAATACAATACAATGAGCGTGTAAAGAGGCTCAGGGTCTACCTAAAGTCTAATCTGCCATCTTGGGCCTCGTTGGTTCTAGCCAGTTTATGTTGTGTGCCCAGTGGCTGTGTCATTCTTTTCATGGTTGTGCCCTGCCCCCTCCCCTCCTGTCTCAGGGCAGGTCACATCTGTCACATCTGTGATGCAGACGTAGGAGAGCTGTGGGAGGGGGAGTTCACCACTGAACCCTCCAGCCCCATGGAAGGGATCCCTCATTTCAGCAGATATTAGCGCGACCCTTCAGAGTCCCAGGCACCTTCCTGGGCACTGGGCACCGGGCACTCGGCTGACAGCCTTGGAAAGAGAGACAGAGCCTCCACCCCATGAGCTCACACACCAGTCAGGGTGCGGAATCCCTGCCAGACACCCTCCCAGTGGGGACGTGGAAGAGGAGGGGAAGACAAGCCCTCCTCTAGACCGTTTTGCAAACACTGGAGCTCTTTGGGGGTTGCTGCTGTAAGCAGCCTTGCAGCCGACCCCCATTAGTAATGCGGCTCCCCCTTAACTGAGGATCAAAGGGACTGCTTTATGCTCACGCTCTTCCAGAGCAGAGTTCCCGGGCAGCCACAGACCGACACCCAGCCCCGTGGCTGGTGCTTCCCCTCTTCCTTCTTGGACCTCCGTGTGAAGTCAGAGTGTTCACACCACGCATCTTCCCTCTTCATGTGGACCATGGTGTCACAGAGTTAAACAAGCCAGGTGTTGTGTTTTGGTTAGGCTCATTCCAGACCAGGTCATGCCGTCTCCCAGAGACAGCATCTCTCACCGAAGATCTGTCAGTAATGAACGTGGTGTAAAGCTTTGAAATGGACAGAAAGGCTCAACACCCTTCGGAGGCTGTTGCCACCTCTCCTTGTCTTTGCCCCATTGTACGGCTCTGTAAATTGTGCCAAAGGGGTAACAGTGCAAATGAGTCTCCCCCAGAAACGCAGACTCGTGTGTCAGGTGGGTACAGTTAATGACTGCCCTGGGGGCAGATCTGTTTGGCATCTGCTTGTAAATTAACATCAGCAGCATGCTTTACTGTACATTTAGCACTTTGAATCCTCTTTTGAATCAGTTGCAATGGCTTACTAGTACCCAAGTTGAGTTCCGTGAAATCTCTCATACACGTTCATTTCATATCTGTATGAGTCGTGGTTTTACCTTCACTAAATTATCTTTTAACAGTTGTAATATGCCAGAGCCCCTCTCCACTCCCACCCCCATTTCTCAGCTGAACATTTATTACCCTTTTCTTTCCTGGAACCATAGTCCTTGGGATTCGGAGCACTCAGCTGAGCCACACACCCTCTTGTACTCCCGCCCCCAAACTCCCTGATGACAGCCCGTGCAGGCCTTCCCCACCTCCCACCAGGAGATGCAGCCATGCCAAATGCAACACGTCCCTCCCGCCTCCTCCCTTCCTCTCCCTCGTGTCAGCTGCAGGAGGCGGAGGGACAGGTCCTCCAGCTCTGGGAAGGGCACCCATTCTTTTCTGTTGGGTTGCTCTCCTCCCATCCCACACTAGCTGGGTTTTATGTTCCCTTTCATGGCTCAGGCCATTCAGTAGGCTCCCTGTGCTTTCTGTCCAGTAGCCGCCTTGCTGGGGTCCTCTGTGTGTGGGATGCTGGCAGGCGATGGACCCTGTCCGGGACTCTCAGGATCAGCCATGGGCGTGAAGCTCCAGCACACAGGACTTAAAAGCCCCAGGAAAGGTGTTGGTTTCACAGGGGTCTGCTCACTTGTCCGTCTATTGAATTATTCATTTCCAGTTGTTTTTTAAATGTAGGCTCCTGGCACCTGTTTCATTTGCTGCTTTTGGAATACATGATTCACATAATTCAGTCGTGCCTAGAAAAGGAAGAGGAGGACAAGGACATGGGAAGTCTCAAGGACGTGCTACCGGATGACCAGCCTCCTGTCCCACCAGACCAGGAGCCCTTCCACCGTCCAGATGGCTCACCTGCTCAGGAGCCTGAAGTCCTGAGTGCGGACCTCCCCCAGGTGACACTGAGACACAGGAGCCAGGACGGATGTGACCCAGCTGGGAACAGCGTGGTGGTCAGGGTCCCGGGCTTCCTGGTGGACACCACCACCAGCAATAAGGTACAGACGCCAGGGCCCCAACTTGCACACAGTGTTTGCGGGGAGCTAAGAGCTATCAGGTGGTTAAGAAACTCAGGGAGGTCACATCGTCCAAACAAGGATACAGGGTTCTAGATCCGCCTTTGCTTTAGCTGGTTTTGCCGGGGGTGATGACAACAGCGTATCTGTCGCTCACCGGCAGCTCAGGTCCCTGGGGCACTGGCTCGTTGTAGGTGTGGAATGTGTGGATGGCCTGCGCTTTGCCTTCCCAGAGCCTGCCTGGACAGTTAGACTCACGGGGCGACAGGTCACCACTCCCACCAAGCTGAGTGACAAGCACTGAAATTCTTCCAGTCTGATGATTAGGGGAAACAAGTGGGCAGTTCTGGTACCTAACTTCCTGGGTTCAAGTTCCCCATCTTCCACTTATGAGCTGAGAACCTTGGGCAAGTTGCTTAATTTATCTGTTCCTTGGTTCCTTCATCTACAAAATGGGAATCAATAGATCTAATTCCATAGGGCTCTCATGAGGTCTAAATGAATTAATTATTATAAATTTCTTAGACCATAGTAAGTACCCATAACCCTAGTTATCGTTACTGTTTCTCAAAAAAAACCTCCTGGTCTGAACACCTTTCCAGAACACTCTTTACCCCATCCCTCCCCAATTCCGAAGTTCATTACAATGGGGTTTGACCTACATTTAATTGGCAGAAACAAGAGAGAAGACCTTACATATTTAATTGAACTACATAATAAAGCAATACAAGCAAATGGATGTCAGATAATCCTAGGGAATATGCATCGGAGATTAATTAAACCTGCTTCTGCTCACGTGCACCTGCTGAATCGGCTATAATGACTTAAACCATCTAACACCAAGAAGTTACGCTCACCTCATTTTCGTGGCATTCATTATTCAGCGTTTGCACCCATCATCAGCAGAGAAGCCCGTCCTCTGTGTCCCATCTGCATTCACCTGCCAGGTGTCAGCGTCCATTCGGCTGCACACCTGGGGCAGCCTCCTCCTCTGAACAGTGTGGCACTGCCCTGCACCTTCCGTGACCACTGGGGTCATCGCATCCAGTTGTCTCATCCTTCTGCCCCTCTTCTCCCTCTTAGCAAAGCTCAAAATAGTAAGATGCCAAGATGTGTTTATGAGTAAAGGGGGAAATTATCCTGGTATTAAATAAAGGGTATTCTTCTTAAAAACCTACTACACAGTTTTTAGTTTAGGTCATGTACTCAGATATTAAAGCCTGGCAAAAATATTTTAAAACAGGTGACTTCAGCTATAGGGTAAAGTTGAAGACAGTGTTGTTTCTGTTTTGTTATGAAAGAGGGAAGAAAAGCATCTTTTCATTGGTTGGTGATGGTTGTTATCGAATTTAGAGAGACTAGGCGGGAACTGTACTTCCATTATTAACCTTGTGTTCGAAGTTATCTTGGGTACATCTTTGTCAAAATATGTTAACTTATGGGGAAGGGGTGGGTAATTAAAGAAGTCAGATTGAAAAATGCGTCTCTATCCATTTGAAAGTACTCATGTCCAATGATCTGCCCCTCTTCCGCGTGCCCACGGAGCTGAGGGCAGGGTGGCATGTTTTCCTTCAACACTTGCTCAGGCAACTGGGTGCCTGAGAGCTCGTTCGTAAGGCAGCGTCAGACCCTGCGAATCTCCCAAGTCTGTTGCTACCCAGTAGAGCGTTAATTTAACCAACGACAGGTTTCATAGGCCTTCCCCCTAAGCTACGGGTACATTTGACGGGTGGTGGAGGAAGGGTCTGTGCGGGAACTTGAGCCAACTGTGTCAGCTCAGAGCTGCTGAGAGCACGGGGCTCGGTGTCCGTCTGGAAGACCGCTGAAGTGATGAGCGTTGTAGCTGGGGACCCGGGGATGTTTCACGGATTCCCTCCTGACTTTCAGAACCAACCCTCCTGTGTCTTTAATGGCAGTGTTGTTTTGCTCTGAGCCCTCACAAACACTACAGGCCCCCATTCCTTTTCCTAAAGGAGCCCCCCCTGCTCACACTACCCGGGCCCCCTCTTTCTCCCACCATCCTGGGTCTGAGATTCCTTCCACGAAGTCCTCACCAGCCGCTGGGCGTTCCCCTGAGAACTCAGGGTCTCCTGGAGTAGGTCCCAGGGTGGGGGCGAGGTGTGGGAGGAGAATTCAGTCAGTGGGTCCTGAAATGGGGAATAGTGTAACTTCCTCTTTTTGTCTTTTCCTTTTAACTATTTCCACCCCTCCGGCAGCTCATCCAGATATTGTTGGAAGATAAGGCCACGGAAAGCACCATCAAACTCAGCCTTCCTCTGGGACAGGAAACCCTCATCACCCTGAACGATGGACAGAAATTTGTGATCCACATATCAGATGTGTCCTAGTGTGTGAAAATATTTATTTTAGGGAAAGTGATGCTAATGTGTAAAATTAGTTATTTCACTAGGACACAAGGAAACAGATTTTCTATTCTTAAAAATGTATTAAGTGCTGAAGCTTTTGTATTGATGAGAAGGAAGATTTTAGGTGCATAATGTAGCACTATTTTATGCTTATATGTGTTTCAAGGAGTTGGTTTTGATGACTCATATATAAACTGATTCAGAGAATAATTTTTCCCTCTGTTGTTTTTCTTCTGGTTGTTCCCAGTACTTCTATGAGAAATTTGAGAAATCGTGTTGGTGGTAAACTCGTGGATCATTCTCCAGAGAAAGATAAAGTTTGCAGAATGCAGACTGGTACAAGCAAAGGGTGATGGTGATATGTTGCCTTCCTCTTGGCAGTGCCCCAATCAGAATGCAATTTGTAGAAAGATCCACTCAGGCAGTGAGGCAGAGAAAAACAACTCAATCACTTTTTTTGTTTTGTTTTTTACTGAAGTATACTCAGTTACAATGTGTCAATTTCTGGTGTACAGCATAATGTCTCCATCATATGAATACATAAATATATTCGTTTTCATATTCTTTTCATTATAGGTTACTGCAAGATACTGAATAGAGTTCCCTGTGCTCTGCAGGAGAAACTTGTTTATCTATTTTATATATAGTAGTTAGTATTTGCAAATCTCAAACTCCCAATTTATCCCTTCCCCGTTCCCACCCCTTTCCGCCTTGGTAACCATAAGTTTGTTTACTATGTCTGTGAGTCTGTTTCTGTTTTTGTAGATAAGTTCACTAGTGTCTTCTTTTTTTCTTTTTTTAGATTACATGTATGAGTGATACCATATGGTATTTTTCTTTCTCTTTCTGGTTTACTTCACTTAGAATGACGATCTCCAGATCTATCCATGTTGCTGCAAATGGCATTATTTTATTCTTTTTTATAGCTGAGTAGTATTCCATTATATAAATATACCACAGCTTCTTTTTCCAGACCTCTGTTGATGCACATTTAGGTTGCTTCCATGTCTTGGCTATTGTGAATAGTGCTGCTATGAACATTGGGGTTCATGTGTCTTTTCGAGTTAGAGTTGCCTCCAGATATATGCCCAGGATTGGGGTTGCTGGATCATGTGCTAAGACTATTGTTTAATTTTTTGAGGAATCTCCATACTGTTTTCCATAACGGCTGCACCAAACTACATTCCCACTAACAGTGTAGGAGGGTTCCTTTTTCCCCACACCCTCTCCAGCATGTATTATTTATAGACTTTTTGATGATGGTCATTCTGACCCATGTGAGGTAATACATCATTGTAGATTGCTTTGGGTAATCTGGCCATTTTAACAATATTAATTCTTCCAATCCAAGAGCATAGGATATCTTTCCATTTCTTTTAGTCATCTTTAATTTCCTTAATCAGTGTTTTGTAGTTCTCTGCCTATAAGTCTTTCACCTCCTCAGTCAGATTTATTCCTAAGTGTTTTATTTTGTTATATGCAATTTTCTTTTTATTTATTTATTTATTTATTTATTTATTTATTTATTTATTTGGTGGATGGAGGTAATTAGGTTTACTTATTTATTTTTAAAGGAGGTATTCAGGATTGAACCCAGGACCTAGTACATGCTAAGCATGGGCTCTTCCACTGAGCTATACACTCCCCACTGGATGTCATTTTAAAAGAGATTGTTTCTTTGCTTTCTTTTTCTGATATTTCATTGTTAGTGTAAAGAAATACCACTGATTTCTGTGTGTTAATCTTGTATCCTGCTTCCTTGTCGAATTCTTTTATCATATGGAGTTTTCATATGGAGCTTTTAGGGTTTTCTGTATATAGTATCATGTCATCCACCTGTAGTGACAGTTTTTCCTCTTCTCTTACAATTTGGAGCCCTTTTATTTCTTTTTCTTGCCTCATTGCTGCGGCTAGGACTTCCAATACTATGTTGAATAGAAGTGGTAAGAGTGGGCATCCTTGTCTTGTTCCAGATTTTAGCAGGAAGGCTTTCAGCTTTTCACCGTTGAGTACTATGCTGGCTGTGGGTTTGTCGTAAATAGCTTTTATTATATTGAGATATGTTACTTCTATGCCCACTTTGGTAAGAATTTTTATCATAAATGGGTGTTGAATTTTATCAGATGCTTTTTATGCATCTGTTGAGATGATCATATGGTTTTTGTCCTTTCTTTTGTGGATGTGGTATATCACACTGACTGATTTACATGTTGAACCATCCTTCTGTCCTTGGGATGAACCCAACTTGATCATGGTGTATGATCTTTTTTATGTGCTGTTGGATTCTGTTTACTAACACTTTGTTGAGGATTTTTGCATCTGTGTTCATCAGTGATATTGGCCTATAAATTTCTTTCTGGTAGAGTCTTTGTCTAGTTTTGGTATCAGGGTGATGGTGGCTTCATAGAATGAGTTTATGAGTATTCCCCCCTCTTCAATCTTTTGGAAGAGTTTGAGAAAGATTGGTGTGTGTTCTTCTTTGTATGTTTGATAGAATTCCCCAGTGAAGCCATCTGGTCCTGGGCTTTTGTATGCAGGGAGGTTAAAAAACTCAATAATTTGATAGCACTGTTAGACCTACTCATTGGCCCTTTAAAGCATCCCAACTTCTCTTGGTTTACATTACACTTTTCTTTTTTTTGGAGGGGGGAGGTAATTAGATTTACTTATATGTATTTTTTTTAATGGAGGCACTGGGGATTGAACCCAGGACCTCATGCATGCTAGGCATGCACTCTGCTGCTGAGCTATACCCTCCCCTACACTTTTCTTAAAGTGTGGTAGAATTATGACTCCAACAATGTCTGCTACAAATGAGGATATGCTGCTGATGCAGTGTTCCCCTCTTTGTAGCAAAATCCTAAGAAAATGTTGAAATGAAGCATAGATCATTGGTAAACCAATCCATTTTTATGTAACTGATTATAGTATTTAAAAGGAATTGAACAATTCACATTTAACATGATATCAGTTATCAGTGGAAATGAGAAAATATTTTACTGATCTCATGTTACGTAAGAAATGAATTAAATGTGGCTTTGTGTAACCGTCACCATAGTCAAGATGAACAGAACTGTTTATCACCACAAAGATCTCCCTCCTGCCGCTGCTTGATAGCCACTCACCCCAAAACACACACACATACACCATCACTAACCCTTAGCAACCACTGGTCTGTTTTCCACCTTTGTAATTTTGTCACTTTGATAACATTATACAAATGAAATCATACCATATGTGACCTATGAGACTAGCTGTAGTTCACTCAGCATGGTGCTCTGAAGATCCACCCGAATTGCTGCATTTATTAATAGTTTCTTTTTAGTGCCGAGGAGTATTTGATGCTATGGCTGCACCGCCATTGATTTAACCATTCACATATTGAGGGACATTTGGGTTGTTTCCAGGTTGAGGCTATTACAGATAAAGCTGCTATGAGCAATGGTGCATATATAGGTTTTTGTGCAGGACATGTGTTTTTATTTCTCTGGGATAAATGCCCAAGAGTGCAGTTGCCGAAAAGTACAGTAAATGTATGTTTAGATTTTTTTTAACTACCATCATTTTTATGCTTTTTGATGCTTAAATTCTATCTTTTCCCAGTTGAAGATCTTTCAAGTCGGCTCTTTTGACATGATCCATTGGTCTTGTCTACTTTTTTTTTTTGACTCAAGGAGACATCTCAGGCTCCTTTTGTACATTTCCAGGCCCCCAATTTTAAATAGTGCTTTGTTACCTTTGACTATGTGCCTCTCGTTGTCCTTGACAAAGTATTTGTTAATGAGAAGTAATGCTTAAGCAGCGGATCTGAAATCTGTTTTCCCCCGTCCCTACTCAGATCTGCTTATAAATATATCAGTGATCAATTTCCTGCAGCCAAACCTGATAGTATTTGCTAGTTGGGGTAGGGGAGGGGTCCTTTTCTGGAACTGCATATACATGACAGCTCAGGACTGCTTGCAATAAACCAATCTGAAATCTATGGAAAATGTTACTAAGCCAAGTAACTGAGCTCCAATTTGAAATAGCTTGTGTGTGAGAGGAGCCATTTGGAGACCCCCTGTAGTTCTCATATATTGCTAGTAGGACTATAAAGTGGTTAAAAAATGATTTTGGAAAACAGTTTGACAACGTTTCTGTCGGCTTGAGTTGTCGTAACAAGCTGTCGTAGACTGGGTGGCTGAAACAACATACGTGTATACAATCTGAAGGTACAGTCATTTTGGAAATCAGTGTGACATGATGTAACTAAATGAAACATTCTTCCCCCCAGAACCCACAACTCCACTACAAGGTGTGTACTCTAGAGAGCCCTTGTGTGTGCACCTGTCCTTGAGCTCAGCTTCTTCCCAGGAACTGAGCCTAAGAGGACTTGCACGTAGGTAGTCCCTTCGGGATGTGGTCCTACAGAACAAAGGTAGGGGGACTAGAATGACTGGCTCCTGGAGGAAGGCAAGCCACTCTCAGGGCACGTCACTGAGTTGGTTACCACTGTGAGCAGTGTGGCTCAGTTCTGTTGGGTACCCTCTGAGGAAATGTGTCGCATGGCTTTCAAAAGTATCCACTGGTGATTTGGAAGTGGGAGTATTTATCCCACTGGCTCCTGTATCCATGGGTCAAAGGTTGTCCCGATGGATGTTAATGTTCCATGTGCCTGGGTGGTCACGTTGCTCAGTGGAACCCTACCAGTGTCCCACACCGCAGGTGGCACAGAGGCCCTGAGGCAGAAGGGACATAGGACAGCTGCGGTGAGCTGCTGCGGTTGCACTGCCGGTAGTCAGTTATCCCAGCAAAAGCTGGAGAAAACAGAGACCCTGAGAGGAAGTGAGACTGGGTGGACGAGAGGCCAACACACCAGAACATAAGACTGTTCATAGCAGTGATGTTCGTAAGGCAATAACCTTGACGCACCTTGTGATGGACAACCCAGCCTGATGCTATGGTGAGCCGTGGCCTCTGCCTCCCTCCTCATCCCGCTCCTCAGGTGGGCTCTGCCCAGGGATGCAGTTTTGAAACATAAGCCAACCCATCCAGCGCCCACACCCCGTCACCTTCTCCATCAGGCTCCCACACTCTGGGCCACCATCCACCTGTCCAAATCACCCCAGGGCCGGGTGTCAGATAGCCAGAGACAGCCCCTGTGCCCCAGAGCCCTGCAGTTCGTCAAACCAACCAATCCTAAGCCTGCTTGCCTCGCCTCTCCAGTTCCTTCCCACAGACACCACAATAAATGCTCTTGCTCACAGATCCCCCCTGCCAACCCCCACCTCGTGTTAGAAATAACTCATCTGGGAAAGGGGGGGTGTCAGAGGGCACTGAGGAGATTCGTAGACTTTCTTAAGAAAAATGGCTTTGAACGGAAGAGGACAGGAGAAGGTAAATGGAGTGGGGGACACGGTTAACAATGGATCGTCTAGTTACGCAGTGTGACATTTACCAAAATCACTTTAAAATATTTGAGTGCTAGTTCAAGGTATTTTTAATTTTTTATTGAAGTGTGGTTGATATGCAATATGATATGTTACGGGTATACAATATAGTGGTTCACAATTTTAAAGGTTATACTCCATTTAGAGCTATTATAAAATGTTGGCTATGTTTTCCATGCTGTACAATGTATCCTTGTAGCTTATTTCGAGTTGTTTTCATCCTTAACAAATTTGAAGCAGGACTATCAGATGCTAGATAGAAAACAGGTGAGTATGTCTCCTAGTGGGCCAGGTTATGGCTTCTGTAAGCAGAGGTTTAAATGTGCTGTCATTTAAAATTATCTTGCTGTCCATGAAACTTTATTATTGGGAACAAGCAAGATTTCCATCCTTAAGAGAATGTTTTAAAATGATGGTCCATTCATTCAGTCCTCTGCTATACCATCCCGGCTACATTCTCTCTGGATGTGGGCACCCCTTGATTTTTTAAAAACAATTTTCATTCTTTTATTTATTTATTTGTATTGAAGTATAGTCGGTTTACAGCGTTGTGTTAATTTCTGGTGTGCAGCATAGTGATTCAGTTATACATAGATATTATTTTTCATAATAGGCTGTTACAAGTTATTGAATACAGTTCCCTGTGCTATCAGTAGGAACCTGCTGTTTGTTTTATATATAGTAGTTAGTATCTGCAAATCCAGAACTCCTAGTTTATCCCCCCTTTTCCCCCCTGGTAACCATAAGTTTGTTTTCTATGTCTGTGACTCCCTCTCTGTTTTGTAAATAAGTTGATTTGTATCCCCTTTATTTTAGTTTACATGTAGTGAATGACATGATTCTGCTTTTAGATGAACTGGCGACAATGCCCTGTCTCGGAAAAGTTTAAGACGATCTCGGTTCTTGAGCAGCGAGAGGTTGGAGCTTTGGCCCCAGACGGACTTGGTGCTAATTTAACCTTCATTGTTTGCTCAGCTTCCTTGTCTATAAAATGATAACCAGCCCCACCTTGTGGCTATCTAACAGCACATAACGCTTGCTCCACGCCACGCACTGTTCCAAGCCTCTCCAAATATCAACCTGTTTCATCTTCCTATCCCTCACCCCTATGATGTAAATACTGCTTTCTTTGTTTCCTAATGAAGGAACTGGGCACAGAGAGGTTATGTGACTTGGCAGGGCCACCCAGCTGGGGAGTGGAGGAGTGCACTGAGCCGGGATTTGAACGCCCCCCACCCCCAGTCTGGCTGCAGAACCCACGCCATCCTGCAGGAAAGAAGCGCATCCCCGAACCGGGCGCGCGGTGAGGACTGCGCACGGGGCTGCAGTGCGCGCGGCGTTCGAGCGCAGCCTGGTCCTGCGGGAGCCCCACCTCTCTACGCGGGCGCGGCGGGGAGGGCGCCCCGGGGCCAGGCCGCACCCGCGCACCTGCGGCGGGGGAAGCGGCTCCTCTCCGGGTCCGCCGCCGGGGGGCGCTGCCGGGGGTTGGGTCTCCGGGCCGAGC